GTTCTTCTCTGTCTATTCAACAGCATCCTTGGACATTTAAAAGGACAATTATCTGCCTGTTCTCCTACAGGCAGCTGGGTCTAAGTTGATGAAATTGTATTTTTTCCCATGAAAGAAAATTTCAATGTTGCTGAGAGCTCCCTGATGCCAGGGCAACTTGCTCACAGCATTTAGCACTTGCAAGAAGCATCTTCTGAGCAACAGTGCTGTGGAATGAGTAAATAAATAAATCCTAGTTAACCGGAAAATTTACAGACTCAAATGTTTATTTGCTGTATTACTACTTAACCTTTCCTACTCCTCATCGCTCAAACTGAACTGTAAGAACAAAGCTTACAATGAAACCCTGGAATGTGGCCTGAAATATAGTTGTGGGGTATTTGCCTAGAATATAGAAAGCCCTCAGTTTATTCCCAGCACTAAAAAAAACCAAAACCAAAAAACAAGAAAACAATAATATAATAATTTTGCTTAAAAAAACAACAACCTCCAAACCTTACCTGTTTTAAAAGGTTTTATAATCTAACACAGTCATTCTAATTTAGATTTAAGTTATTAAAATTCCGATGGATGAGTGTAGCTTCTGGTATGTCTAGGAGATGTCAGAATCTCATAGCTAACTCCCTGTTCCTCTGGCTATTGCAATATTCTAGCTCCTCTCCCACAATGAACAGGGAAAGCAAAGGTGGACTCAACCCTACACAAAGAACTGTAGGCAGCCAGGGAATGCTGAGAACAGGAGTTGCAATCTTCCCCAGGGAAGAGCATGCCAATTGGTTATCTAATACCAAGTGGTCAGCCATGGAAACATATACTTGCAAGTGACATTATACAGACTGAGCAGGTTGTATTTATATATTTAGGAATATACACATGCAGACACACACACATACACACAAACACACGTAACAACAATTAAAGAAAAAAAGAGGGTTGTGAATTTGAAAGAGCAAGTGGGTATACTTTGGAGGGTTTAGAGAGAGGAAAGGGGAGGGGGAAACTACAAAATTATATTAATCTCAAAGAAACTTTAAAATTCACATGGTGCCTAAAAGAAGTAGAATGGCCTATAGGAAAGCAATGTATCTTGTGTGAACTCATACTAGATCTTACATGATGGATATGGTGGTATTTATTGTGATGCCTATCTGGCAAGAATATTGGTATTGAATAATTTGGTTTCAAAGACTCTTGGTATATATGGGGTCAGGATAGGTGGTTGGTTCCTTAAGTCAAAGAATTTCTTGCAACTCTTCTTGCCTGCTGCCTCTTTGTGAGTAGGCATGAAGCTAGTAATTAACTTTTATTGTCCTGATAATTACTGGTGAGTGCATTCATTGTTATTTACATCAGCTGCCAGCTAACTGTTAGTCACAATCTATTCAGTGTGAGATTTCAAGATGAAAAATATAATCTTTGTGTTTAGTTCAGTTTTGGCTATTGAATATTTTATTGTCCAGCAATAGGACACGTTAATCTACATATAGTTAATGATAACCCATAATAACAGGCATGATCGAAGTAGACCAGACGGTTGCTTCCATTTTATAAAAACCACATCTTGGGTGGGGTTCAATAGTGTCAACATTTTAAAAGCACAGTTTAACAGAAAGTGATAGGATGAAATCAAAAGAGGATCTCCAAATTGGCTCCCTAATCTATGATAGAATGCCCTTCAAATTCTGATGGGCACCTGGATCATCCATGGAATGTTTCAGCGCACGGTCTGATTCAGTAGTTTTGAGGTGAGTCTGAGATCCACTATTGTAGGAAACTTCTGGCAGACACCAATGCAGCTTGTCCAGGCACCATACTTTGAGGACTAAGAGTCTGGCAGCTCTAGAAATGAGTCCTTACTGGTTTCTTGTCATATTTCCAGGGAGGACAATGGAAGGCACCCTCAGGTGCAAAAATCAGAAAGAAGCTACAGGTGATAATTATATTTCTAGTATTTATCCCCCAGGACACTGGGATCAGGATTTCTACCCCAGATTTGATTTCTCCTGGCCTCCATACCTACACAGTAGACAAAGCACAGGCCACTATCACCTAAGGGATTCACACAGTCCTTAACAAGCATGTCCTAGCCCAAACTCATGACTTTCAGCCATTCCCAACCCCACCCCGATGCATAGCTCCATCATCTCTGTCACCTAGCTAAGAAATGCAGAAACCGGCTTTTCTCTCCTTCCTGCCACCAACTCCAGACTCTTGAGAATAGCACCTTGATCTCTTATTTCTTTCTGTCTGCACTTCTCTTGTTCATTCCCATGTACCCTTTACACGAGTACACTGCAGACTCCTTACTGGAATCTCTTCCTCTCTTCCTTCCTTCCTTTAACTAAAAAAAAAATTTTTGAGTTTTTTAATTACAACTATTCTCCCTTCCCTTTCTTCCCTCTAAAACCTCCTTATACCCCTCCTTTCTCTCTTTCAAACTCATGGGTTTTTTTTTTTTGGATTGTTATTACACACACACACACACACACACACACACACACACACACACACACACACACATATACACACATATATGTGCATATATATAAATACAGATATATTCCTAAACATAGCCTGCTCAGTCTGTATAATGTTATTTGCAATGTCTGTTTTCCTGACTGACCACTTGAATTTGGATAACCAGTCAGTGTGCTCTTCCCTGGAGAAGACTATTTCTCCCACTCCCAGCATTTCTCAGGTGCACATGTTTGAGGCTTCATGGGATTTTCCCATCAACATTGGCAAACACCTAAGGCTCAGGGAACATTGTAGAAGACAGGCAGAGAGATTGTAAAAGCCAAACTAGGGAGTTTGCTGTAAGAGTGTATCCTCTAGTAATGCCAGAAGCTGATGCATTAAATCTCACCAACATGACTTCTTAAACTTGAGCTAAACAAGGATGACACTGTTGGACATGCCAGAAATAACTTATTTCCTTTACTCCCCTCCTTTGGATACTTCAACAGCTCCTTTCTGCCTCAGAGAGGAAGAGGTTCAAATCTACCAGCATGCTCCACATACTCTTAACTACTGGAGCTTGAGCCTGCCTCTCAAGCTCTGTCATGTCCTAGCTTTCCTTGAGTTTGCATCCTTGAGTTAGAGTCATCTGGCTTTTGTCCCGAGTATTCCAGAATTTGAAACTTCCCCAGGCTCTCCCAAATGAGGTTAGATCCAAACTCTCATGTTTGCACAGCAAGGGCTCCTGCTAACGGAGCATCTCTCCAGCCCTTCTCCAGGTCTTCAATTTAAAGATTCCATAATCAATAGAGCGGAGGATATCAATAAGATGGACATGAAGCTTGTGTTTGAATCTACTCATTTGTAGATAAAGACATTTCAGTCCGTTGACATAAAATAACTTGTTAGAAGGATGAGGTACTTGTCTTCTGAGACAGGGTCTCATTATCTAGCTTGGGCTGGCCTTTAGATCCTAGCCCTTCTACCCCTGACTGGTGGATTTCTGGTGCATGTTGCCATTAAGCATTTGTCTTTTATAAGAATGTATTTATTATTTTGATGTGTATGTATGTGTACCTGCTTGAGTTTATGTGCCTTGTGTACATGTAGGAGCCTGTGGAAGCCAGACAAGGACATTGGATCCCTTGGAACTAGAGTTTCAGGTAGCTATGACACCCATTGTGGGTGCTGGAAACCAAACCCGGGTCCTCTACAAGAGCAGCAAGCGCTCCAAACTGCTGAGTTGCCTCTCCCAACTCAGCATTTATATTTTAAAGGACATTTCATACATGTTTAAAATCTTCACAAGAAGTCCGTAAGGTTTGAGTTGTTTTCTCTCTTTATACCCCCAAAGAACACACAACTCAGAATTAAATAACTTCGTAAAGTTATGTAGATGGGAAGTTCCCTCTCTGGAACAGAAAACAGCTACTGCCCATTTTCAGTGCTAGACCCTCTCCTCTGAAGATAGGCGACATGCAAGGAGTGAAATGGAGACCCGGGTTCTGCTATCAACTCTGGGTGTCACAAACATACCGTGGGTAACCTCCCCAGGCTACCCTGTGGCACACTTAAAATGATTAAAGTGACTATATCCAATGTTACATTTTCAGATACGTGTTTAGGTAATGCTGGAGATCTGGCCCATGGCCGTGAACATGGTGGGTAAGTGTTCTGCCTCTGAGGCACCCCAACCCTAAACCAGATGCTTTTGAGGGTGAAGTGAATGGAACAGACCGGGCTGACTGTCGACTGCTCAGCCCCTCCCCTTTGGACTTCTCCTGCCCACTGCCATGTCATGCTTGCCCCCCCCCCCCCCCAATTCCAAGCTTCTCTCCTTTTCAGCTTCTTTAATGCCAAGACACTCTGACTCTTAGGAAGATTGCTCACAGGCTACCAGAAGAACTCCTTTGTCTCTAGCATAGAGCTTTAACTACTGGCAAAATCAATTCCTCTAAGGTAGCCCTTGGCCAGTCAGTAGAAAGTCCAGGAATGTGAACATCCTTCTGGGCTCAGACAGCATTTGGGTAAATACCTCATACAGGAGCTCTCTTGCAGGCCAAGCTGGGCTCTGTATACCTGGGCTATGCCTGTTTCCTTTTATGTCATGCTTCCCTCACTCCCTAATTGTCTTCCCTGAGAGCATGTCCTTAATGAATGTATATTCACCTTAGCTTGTTTCTGGGTAACCTGACCTAAGATAGTATACTTCGATTTATAGATCATTCTGTACCTGGATGGCTTCCTGAGAAAGGCTAATATCTCTCAGTCCTTGCAAAAACAAAGTAATTCTTATCTGTGTGGGATGGCATCAGTGTAAATATGCTCTGAGACAGGAAATCAGATGTGGTAATTCCTCAAGGAATCCATCAGAATTTATTAAATCACGTCATCTGCTCTCATAATTCCTGTCTAGCCTCTTCAGTATCAAGACTTTCTGTTCAAAAAACTATTCACAAGCTGACTTACGAAGGGTAACTTACTCATGCAAAGCCGTCTCCCCCAGCACAGCCTTGCCCCATCTGAGCAACCCAGGAACCTACCAGCACTCTTCCTACAGACTTGCTGGTTGCATTTTTGGAATTCTGGGGGTCTGACTTCGTGGTCACAGAGGCACTGGTTTGGATCTTCAGTCGTACTGTTTTCTGAGGGGATACAATGAACAGTTCTCTTCTGAGAGCCGCCGCCACAGGAAGTGGTACACTGAAAGAGAGACAGAAAGAGTCACAGTTCCTCCTCAGGACTACCAAGGGAGCATCTCTTACCCCACCACAGTTAACTGAGAGAAAGTCTGAATTACCAAGAGCCCTTTGGAGCTAGGCCCATTGTGAGATCAAGGTGTAATAAAACACTACACTGCCATAGCTAAAATCTAAATCAACTCAAGATGTGAGTTTAGGAAAAGCCCTGTGCTAGAGGCTGTTGGAATGAATTCAGCTTAATGTGCTAGTGGGTTCTCTGCAGAATGTGTTCCTCTTTCTCACATTTGAAAATTCCCTGCTGGTCTTATCACACAGCTACATTACTGGGGTCCAGATACCCAAGCAAGTACCACATGACCATGCCAATTCTTCCATATTTGACTCATCCAGGAGAAGGTATTTGAATCAAGGTGGGCCAGTTGGTCACTTTTTCGGCAACTTGTAACGGACACAGAAAGACATTCAATTTTCATTGTGAATGGTGCAAAAGTGAGTGTGGTTGGTGGTTACACTTCCTGCTGAGCAATAGTTGAATAAGAAACCGGATGACAGAAAAAGTGAGTGGGATGGAGCAAACCTTTAAGGAGGAAAGAGAATGAAAGATGGTTTGTAGGGCGCAGCCTTGATTCTGATGAAAACTCTCAACCCAGACATTCATTTTGACATTGATATATGACAAACACTCATCTTGACATTATGAATGCATGATGTGAAACAGAAGGAGAAAGGCTGAACTGAAAGGAAAATAGAAGAACCCCTCACGGTTTAGGCCATGGCGTTTTCCGGTTTCTCTGGTCTAGTACTGATTTGGGGCTAGAGATCAAATGTGAGAAGAAGGGATGGAGCTATCAGGAAGATGGGAGTAGTGTGAAACAGGGAAGTTGGAGAGAAAAACCAAGGGGATGAACATTGGGCCGAATAAAGACGATAGTGTACATGGGGCAGGAACGGGGCTACAGGACTTTGAACTTCAGTCTTGCCGGAGCAGAACAGAACCACGTTCCCCCATTATTCATGCTTCCCAGCAATCAGCGTGATTTTCAACAAATATCCACTGTCTAACTGGCTCAAAGGGGGCTGAAGGGAAAAGTCATTAAGCTTAGAAGAATCCATTTGCCACTTGAAATATTATTGGAGGCTCAGAATACTAGATAAGAGAATTTCCAGACTGGGTTACCACCAATCAACTCTGAATACGACTAACAAAACCTCATTTTTCACAGAGACTGCCTAAATAGATGATAACATAACATATGGTACTTTTTCTTAATTTCTACTCATCTATTTTATTTTACTGTACATAAATCATGAAGCATAATAGTGAGCAGCATGAGTTCTCATGTTTGAATTAGAGAGTCAGAGTTTTCTGTGACTAAATCTGAAGATACTTTTGATCAGTCAATTCACCTCAAATCTCCCACAGGTATTGGCAAGAAACAATGAAATAACTACTCAGATAAAATACTCAGGATCAATAAAAGTCCGTAACAAAGGCCAGAAGGAGGAAAGATGGAGAATAATTAAGCCAGACTCTGAAAGAGTCCTGGGCTAGGGTTTAGGGGAATTGGGATTTCCAGCTGTTTATCATCCTAATAATTTACCCCTCCTTTCTTTTTCTTCATCTGTAAGATAAGATTGTTTTATGAAGACCAAGTGTAGTTTGGTTTCCCATTCCCATGGTAAACACTGACCAAAACCGTTTTGGGGGAGGGAGGGGTTTGTTTGGCTTACAGGTTACAGTCCATCATCCAGGGAAGCCAGGGCAGGAACCTGGAGGAAGGAACTGAAGCAGAAGCCATGGAGGAAGGATGCTTACTGGGATTCTCTACAGCTTGCTCAGTTTGCTTTCTTACACAACTGAGGACTGCCTGCCAGGGGTGGCACCATCCATCCTGGGCTGGGATTTCTCACATTAATCATTAATCTACTTCCTAGATAACTCAGGTACGTGAAGTCGGAACAACGGTAGAATTTTTCTATGGGATAGGGAATGTTCATTTCCCATTCCCCCATCATTAACGAGACAGTGTTATTTATGCAACAAATAAACTTTGGGAGGATAATAAATCCTGCTCTCAGTTACAGATTAATTATTTTCTTTACTTCTCCGTCAAACAGCCTGGCCATCTGGCAAACTGCTTTGTGGGCAGAAGAAAGGTCCATACTTACAAAGTCAGACTAAACCTAAAGCTTCAAGATATAAGAGACTGTATTTTGGTCTAAAAAAAAGAAGAGTGAACCCAAGGACTTGGGGCCCAAAATAACTTCTCCTTAGGCCTCGTGCTTCTGGAATATTTTTGCTATTTGATCTTTTCTCTTTCGCAAGGATTTGATTTTTTTTGGTCTCTTCTAAACTCCAGATAATGAACATGGACTCACAGCAGCTATGAGGCAACTTTCTGCAGACCTGGAAGTAGTACACAGGGAAAGAACAATAAAAGGGAAACACATGGAAACATGTTACAGGCCAGTGAGTATAGTGAACATCCATAAATCCGAAGCAAATTTAATATTAAATCTAAGGTGAATGGGCCAGAGAGATTGATCCAGCTGTTATGGGTACTTCCTGCTCTTCCAGAAGACTCAAGTTCAGGGCCCAACATCCATATCTGGTGGCTTACCTCCTGTAACTCCAGCTCTAGGGTATTCCATACCTCTGCCCCCACAGGGCACTGCACTCAAGCATGCACACCCATTTGTACACATGCATGCTGATGCATAATTAAAAAACAGGACACAGTTGCTATGAAGGGGGAAATGGGAAAAATGGTTGGGAGAGATTTACCTGGAAGTTAGGGAGGGAGGGTAACCCAGAGGATTAGGGAAGGAAGGGGGTGAATAACATTAAGGATGTTTGAAAATGCTATAGGGAATCATATTATTTTATGTTTGCCTAAAATGACATACAATAAATAAATACACAAATATATCTATGCTGGGGGATGTCTTTCTGTATGCCATAAATATATGTTGTTCCCGTTGGTTAATACATAAGCTGCTTTGGCCTATGACAAGGCAGCTTAGAGGCAGGTGGGAAAGGAGAGAGACAGGAAAGAGAAAGGCAGAGTCTGGGGAGACGCAAGCCAGCCGCCCAAGGAGCAACATGTAATGGGATGCAGGCAAGGCCACCAAACATGTGACAATACATAGATTAATAGTTAAGGGTTAATTTAAGATATAGGAGCTAGCTAGCAAAAGGCTTGAGCCATGGCCATACAGTTTGTAAATAATATTAAGCCTCTGAGTGGTTATTTTATAAGTGGTTACAGGACTGTGGGGCCAGGCGGGGCCAGAGAAAACTTCCTATATGTCTATATAATATAATTGAAACTGTGCCACTTGGGGTAACAGTGTTCCCTTCAAAACTATAGACTGTCTAACAAAAACCTCAGTTCTAGCCATGGGAAATCTCTCAAGTCAGGGGACTGCAAGAGACCCTCTCAAACAATATACACTATTGCTGTTGCTCTTGATGCCTTTCAGAAAAAGAAGGTAAGATCCTATTGCTGAACACATCACATACTTTGGACAGAGGGCTTGGAAGAATATATCTGGATCTGACCTGGAAGCCTCCTAGCTGAGGACTAGCCCCCATATCAGAGCAGCTATTCAAGTTGACAAGAGAGAAAAGCAATCAATAGTCCTATCCAGACGTAATGCCTGTGGACCAACATAGGAAGATATTCTGAAAGGACAATAGTGGTACTTATATCCTGGGGGTAACCAACAGCTTTGTAATTGGACTTAAGACCTAATCAATAGGAAGGAATCTATGTTTGGCACTATAAATTTATATCAGTTGGTAAGGCATTGGGCTCTGGATGAGAACCCACTGCTGTTACTTTCCTAAACAAATATAATTTCTAACTACTTTTCAGTACTTATCCTTATGTCCACACACGAGCATAGCTCTCATCCCTCAACAGAAAAGCATTTTTTTTTCAGTAGAAGGAGATCATTACAGAAAGTTGCAACTGAACAAAATGCAGAGCTCAAATGATTGTAGGGTGCCTGCCTCCAATTACTACAATTAGAACATAACTTCTGCCTCTAAGGCTCAGGGAACACTGTAGAGGAGGGGTCGGCAATCCGATAATAACAAAGGACCATGAGTACTGATGTGAGATAGTCTTCAAGAAAAGTAAAAAGAGAACATGCAGTATGGGGGTCAGGTGGGGAAGAAGGGTTGGATCTGAGAGGAGCTGGGGGACATGCTGAGAATGAATGGAATCATGATACATTGTCTGAAAATCTCAAAGAATTAATATGAAACAAAAAATTACAATCTCTGTAATAATATCAAACGTGCCCCTTTTAATTCAATTCTCCAATCCCCAATCTTAGCAACAAATTTTAATGTGAAGAGATCTGTAAATTTAGAAATTAAAAAAAATGTGCTATAAAATTTCTCTGCAGTGATAATAGTAGTAACGAAAATACTAAACATAAAGCCAAGGTAGCACGAGGCACCTATAAGCAACTCTTACCAGATCCCATTCCCCAGTGGCCCAGTGGCAGCAAAGGTGCCTGTTGCAGGGCACAGTGGACGCAGGTCTTTTTGTCCAATCACAGAGGCCGCCCGGGCAAGAGACTGCTCTCTCCTGAACACCGCCTCCACAGGACCTAGAACACTGACACACAACATGGACAGGCAGTAAATTAAATCAGGTGGTGGCGAATTCAAAGACAGGAGCAGACTTTTTGCTGTCATTGTGGCTGTGTGTTGGAGAACTCAGTATGGGTATTAGAACCTGGAACGTCTTCACATGTTCCCAAAAGGAACGGTCTTTCAGAATAGATGTAAGATTGTCTGCCTATCAAATATCCCAGAACAGACAGAATGCTACCAGTTTTGCTACCTGGTACAAGGTTTTGGTAACAAAAATGTAAATTTTAGATTTTTAAATTTGTGATTATGGGGCTGGAGAGATGGCTCAGCAGTTAAAAACATTGGCTGTCCTTCCAGAGGAATCAGGTTTGATTCCCAGCACCCACACAGTGGCTCACACTGTCTGTACCTCAGGTTCCAGGGGAGCTGATGCCCTCTTCTGGTTTCTGCAGGCCCCAGGAGCACCCACAGTACATAGACATACAGGCAGACAAAACACCTATATACATAAATATAATTTTTATATTTATTTTTATTAATTAATAATTAACTAATTTTCCCTGACCAGTCACAGTCTCTCCTCCCTCCCTCCTCACCTCCCAGTTTCTCCCACCAACCTCCCCCCCCACCCCCATCCTCTCCTCCTCCTCCTCCTTTCTCTTTAGAAAATGGTGCATCAGCCAGCCACGGCATATCACGTTGCAGAAAATTTTAAAAATATATGATTAGCTCTGTCACCCTGCTAGGAGAATACACATCATTTGCTTCCTTTTAAAATGTGATAGTCTTCCTTTCCTACTACATAAAGTTTTAGAATGGAAGTTTCTTTTAGTTAGTAAAATTGATGGGCTTGCTGAAGATAGTGATAGATGGATAGTGATATCCATAAGAATATAATATTCATAATATGCTCTCATATTCAAGAGAGCAAGGTGGATTTCTCTAGGGATACACATCTAAAAATGTCAGGTTGTTGATTATCAGAATGATTTCATATGATATATAGTCTCATTTGTGTGATGCTTTTAAGAGGAAATTAATTCACTAATAATCATTGAAAAGTAATGCAAAAACAGTGAGAACGCTTTGAAAATGCCTAGTTATGACATAGTTACAACAATAGCAAACTGTGGTTGTCTTATCAATGCCAAGGCCATCTCATGAGGCACTATGTGTATGGTTGTATCACAGAAAACAGGAAAATAATATACAATTAGCTGCATATGCCCAGTAAAAGACCTAACATGTTGTCTTCAGAAAATTCCAGCTTTGAAAAACAATCTGTATTCCTGGCCCCATTTATTCAATCAACCTATATTCCTGCCCCCATTTATTCAATCAACCTATGTTCCTGTCCCCCATTTATTCAATCAACCTACATTCCTGCCCCCCCATTTATTCAATCTGTTTGAACAAAGTAGAATTTGATCTTTGGGTTCTTGTGGTTCTGTGTATATGCAGATGGATTCTGGGCCACTTGATCAAGTAGAAGGAAAAGAAGATAAATATTACTATAGATTGATGGTTCTCAGACTAGCAGTATCAGCATCCTTTAATAGAGAAGAGATATTATAGATTCAGAGTTTCCCACCCGAGATCCCCAGTTGGATCCGGGGATCATCCTATCCCTCTGTATGTTGACAAACCCACCAGATGATTTTGAAGCATGCTAACATTGGACTACCACTGCTGTAGAGATAGATGTTGGCATAGGTAAAATGCATCAGCCCTTTAATTAGTCTGTGATGGCTGACATTTCCCAAATGGGCCCCAAATAGTCTCAGGATGGCAAGCCATTAGATAGAGTAGCATTATGACTGGTCAGTGAAAGCATCTAAAGTTATCTAATCTCTAAACCACTCCAGCAGTTACAGTTCTCGTCTCCACCATATCTTCAAAGAGAAGTCTTCCAATTTCGTGATTTTCTCAGAATAAAGACATTTAGAAAGGTTGGTAGTAGGAGGCATTTGGGGAATAGGTTGATATTGGGGCTCCCCAGATACTGAGGAAATACAAAGATAATATCTTTTCCATAATAAACAAGACCTGATTGGTAGATCATCATTATGGGATTGTTGTGTCAGGGTCTCACTATATAGCCTTGGCAGGCCAGTGACTCACTATGTAGCCCAGGCTGTCCTCCAACTCACAAAGATTTGCATTCCTCTGCCTCCCAGGTACTGAGCTTAAAGGCATGGGCCACCACTCCTGACCCCTGACTACTCAATTCTGATGGTCTGGAAATGCTATTTCTCTTGACCGAGAAATCTCAACTTCTCTGTAAAAAAAATTTTTTTTCAGGATTTGAAAGATTCACCTGAACAGGTCCATGCTAGGCTTAGCATACGAGAGGAACTTGGAGGCCTAGGTCCATGCATGGGAGCAACAGGTACTCCATGTACTTACTCTAGAGTTGAGTTAGGAAAGGAAGGAGGGAAAATAGAGGACAGTGTCCCACTGTCCCACACCACCCCAGGAAACACCACATAGTGGTTCTGACCTAGGAGTCAACATGAGTTAGTGGCCCAGAGTGAAGTAGGAAGTTCCAGGGGAATCAACTTTGCATGCTCTGTGTCTTCAGGCTGTGAGCCTCTCTGTTCCCTTCCTGGGTACATTGCAGGTATTCCTAAAAAGGAGTTGATGCTTCAGTCTCTCTATCCCAGTTCACTCTGCTCAGCTCTCACTCAGCCAAGTTCCATGGAGGGGTAGGCACAGACACTAGACTCTGCCTCATGTTTGAATAAATACTTCATTTATTTTCTAGTTGTGTAACCTCAAGTATATATTTTCAACCTTGCTGAGTTAAAATTTATCTATGAAATAAAATTAATAAGGCATACCACCCATATCATTGTGAGAATTAAACTAGGTAATAGATAAAATACACTGTGGACACACTCACAGTATGTTATAGTTTTGGCTTTTCATCCTTGTACTGTGCATGGGTATCTGGGAGTGTTTTTTAGCTATTGATTCATTTATCTATTGGGAAATGATACTATCATGCTTTTTTTCTGAGTCTGGATACCAAAATCCAGCAGAGCTAATCCTCTCACAAAAGAGACATGCGCAGTCTCCTTTATTCGTGCAAACAGTCATCTGGGTATGTAACTGAGAAATGAATCTCAAATTATATGGTGTGGGAAGGATCTCATCATTATTCTCAGGCTGACTGAAGAAGGCTCAGACAGGTGTGTGAGGCTATTATAAATAGCTCATCAAAGTAGTCTGTTTCGAATCATTTCATTGTGTTCCTATCCCCAGCAGGGTCCCTAATTACCCAATATATCCATTGTGAGGCCAAGTTCTAAGAAAACACTGCACTGTCATAGCTGACACCACACCCTATCATTTTCCCAGGGGATATCTTTCAGCTCCTGCAAGGTTTTGACCTGCTGCTTTCCCCGTACTGTGTTGGGTCACTAAATGGAACTGAATCTCTTGCTTGATTCCAATGTGGTCTTCTGCAACTTCTAGACTCACGTTAATACATCAATTCATGATCTATTGTACTCAGTCTCTGGGATGCTGTGTATCCCTTTTGAGTGCATTACCTTGTTAACACACCAATTCATGATCTATTATACTCAGTCTCTGGGATGCTGTGTATCCCTTTTGGGTACATTACCTTGTTAACACACCAATTCATGATCTATTATACTCAGTCTCTGGGATGCTGTGTATCCCTTTTGGGTGCATTACCTTGTTAACACACCAATTCATGATCTATTATACTCAATCTCTGGGATGCTGTGTATCCCTTTTGGGTGCATTACCTTGTTAATACACCAATTCAAGATCTATTATACTCAGTCTCTGGGGTGCTGTGTATACCTTTTGGGTGCATTACCTTGTTAATACACCAATTCATGATCTATTATGCTCAGTCTCTGGGATGCTGTATATCGCTTTTGGGTGCATTACCTGGCTCCAGGGCTCCACTTGCCATTCTTCACAAGGCTCCAGGTTACAGCTCATACTCAGGGGAGGAGGAAGGCCAGCCAGGAACTGGCAGTGAAATGGCCTCAGGCTCCGGTGGTGGTCCTGGCTGTCCATGCACTGAATCTCACGAATCTTGAAGCCTCCACTGCAGTTTCGGGAGCACTGAATGGAGAACAAAAGCAAAGATAACAACTAAGTCCTTGGCATTCGGACTCCGCACTCCATCACTGGGGAAGCTTCAGGCTCCTAGCATGGAGAGGTCATGACTAGTTGGCATGTGCCCTGTTTTCCTTTGTGTTTATGGAGAAGCAATACCATAAGCAGATCTCCTACTTAGTGCACTCTGGTATCACCCCCACCCACCCATGTGTAGATGTGTGAGAGTTTGGACATCTGTCAACAGTGGATGAGTATCCCAGTTTTGTCCCTCGTTGATTGAGCCTTGGATACATTTTGAGCCACAAATGGTATTATTTGTAAACTGGGATGTGTACCTGCTATCTCAAAGGCTGCCAGAAGAATTGTGGACTTGTGGCAGTGGAGAACCTGCCCTGCCAGCACAGGGTACAGCCTGTCTCAGAGGGTGGCTATCCCTGCTCAATATCTATATTCACTTCAAGCAAGCCAGCCTCTTTGGTCCAAATGGAAGGACCAATCTAGCCAACCACTTTTACTCAGAACTCCACTAAAAACTACTTTTATCCATTATTTAGAACACAACACGTTATCAACTCTTAGGAAGGGGTTATACTAGGGAAATTAACAGAGTCACTGTTCAGTGGCTTGACTCACAGGAGTGAGCAAAGCTGTCATCACTTGCCTTGATCACGGAAAGTTTGCCAGATGGGCACATGTCCAGAGAAAGCCTTCAAATGGGCCCTATTAATAGCCCCTTCCCTCTGATTCTAACCCCATTGAGCAGTCCTTGCATCCTGCTCTGTATCAGGACATTGCAGGGTTCACCTGTTGGCTTTTCATGTCATTTGGACCAGGACAGCAATGGTATCCTAGGCTGCCCATGGCCAGGACTGTCTCCCTTTCTCCTTTTGATTTGATTCTAGTGCTTTTTGAATCCCTTCAGCTCCTGTATTTGCCCCACATTTGGACCTAAAGTGGGAGGACAGGAGGCAGATGCCTACAATCATCAGCAGACTCTCCCAAGGTTAACAGTGTGACCTGGTGGTCCTTATATCCTAAATGTCCCTTCCTTTGCTTTCTGAATTACATGCTACTACTTTTTCTTTAAGAGTCAGATTAAAAACTTTACTTACCATAGCATGTACGTATGGTTATGTATGTGTCAGTGTGGGTTTGTCATTGTGAGACACATGTGGAGATCAGAGGACAACTCTGTGGAGTTGATTCCCTCCAAGGTAAGTGGGTTCTGGGGCTAGCACTCAGGTCACCAGGCTCATGAGGCAAATCACCCCCTTCCCACTGAGCCTTCTCACTACTATTTAAAACAGAGGTCTTCCTTAAACAAAACCACCTCCTGTTATTTATTTCCATTCCTTCTTTGTAGCATAGCACTTGAAATGCAAAAGACTTCATTTGTTTTGCCCTATCTGTCCTGTTCGGCACAGCATCACAGGCCCTTAGCATGGGGCCAGACACAGCACGGATGGTCAGTATGGATTTGTTGAATCAAGAAAATGAATTCCGAGAAACTGCTGGGATTTTTGGACTCCCAAAGGGTAAAACAATCTCTGTATCACCACCAGACAAAGAGCACTGTCCTTCTTCCCTCCCCTCCTATCTCCTCTCCTCCCTTCCCCTTCCCTCCCCTTCCCCTCTCCTCCCCTCCTTCTCTTTCCATTCCTATTCATTCCCTCCGGCTTATTCCTTCTTTGCTAACTTTTTCACCTGTTTCTTTCTATTTTCCTGTTTTTATTGATTTTTTTTTTGAGACAGAGTATCTTTCTACTTGGCCCAGACTGGTCTGGCACTCATGAACCTCCTGCCTCAGCTTCTTGGGGGCTAGGGTTGCAGATATGTGCCTCCATGTAACAGTGTCTTTCTCCTCTTGATTCTGTACAGTGACTTCATTGACAGTGTTGATTGAGAAAGTGTGCCACCAAGAAAGGAATATATTGCTGGAGGATGGCTATACATTATCCTTCCATCTTCCTCTGTAATCAGGAAGCATCACTCTCTCCTGGCTTTTGTAGAAATCATCATTGTAGGGTTGTGGCTGAGCAGAAAAAAAATTTCTCAAATGCTTCCAGTAGAAGATTCCAAAGATTCCTGCTCAACCTTCTCTCACTGTCTGAGAATATTCATCAAGGTACGTGGTAAAATCTTGGCCAGTGTCTTAATTTGTTTTCTGTTGCTATGATAAAAATGTCCTGCCCTAAGCAACTTAATCAAGAAAGCATTCCTTTTGTCTAGAGTGGCAGGTTACAGCCCATCACGACAGGACTCACTGTGGCAGGATTCCAAGGGAGATGGTCACACCCTATCCTCAGTCAAGAAGCAGGGAGCTACTCTTGTGCACAGTTAACTCTCTCTTCTTCTACAGTCTAGGACCCAAATCTAGGGAATGGTCCCACCCTCAATAGAAGGGTCTTCCCAACTCAATTAAGTTAATTAAGACAACCTCCACAGGCATGCCTAGAAGGCTGTCTTCCAGGTGATTCTAGACCCAATCAAATTGCCAACCCTAAACACCAAAGTCTGTAACATGGGAAGACTTGGACTCCTATGACAAAGGGGTGGATGGATGTTCTAATGCTTCCACAAATCAAGTATGGTCAACACTAGCTAGACAGCTCCAACAAAACACACATTAAAAACTTTATCTTCCTCCCATGTGTTAAGTACATGTATAAAAATAAAAATAGTTGCCATTTTAAAAATTAACTTTATTAGGAAAACAAAATTTCACAAGAAACAAATATAAAATGTTTTTTTTCTTATGGTCTATTTGTTGCTACAAGTCACTGTTCCCAAATACAATTTCTAAATTAGCATTCTTGTATTGTTGAAAGCATAGTCACACATGCAACGGGAAATGAAATTTACTAACAAACTGTAGGTGGTCACCAAGGAAGACACTCACCAAATCTATGCTTCTGTTTTGTTTTCAAAGGGACTTCACTTTCTGTTAGCAAGGCAGAAGTGGCAGCATAGTGAAGTCCCTTCACTCCTAATGCCATTTTGCTTTTGTGTGCAGAATGCCAATTGCTACATTCATCTTGTTCAGTTTGTGTTCCCGTTTTCCTAATAGGGAGTCTGTGGGCCAGGCTGAGGACAGGAGTCTGGTTCAGGGGAGCAGGAAAAACAGGCTAATGTTTTGTCAAAATGAAGTAAGCCTGATGGTTTTCAGGTCACAGAGCCAGTTGTTTTAACTGAAGTTTTTTTTTTGTTGTTTTGTTTTTTTGATTTTTCGAGACAGGGTTTCTCTGTGTAGCTTTGCGCCTTTCCTGGAACTCGCTTTGAAGACCAGGCTGGCCTTGAACTCACAGAGATTCGCCTGGCTCTGCCTCCTGAGTGCTGGGATTAAAGGCGTGCGCCACCACTGCCCGGCTTAACTGAAGTATTTTGCAAACCAAATCAAGTTACAATTAAAAAAACAACAACAAAAAACAAAAAAAACAAACAACAACAACGAAACTGTTCTCACTCTGCTGTGGATTCTTTGGGTTTAGTGGTGGACACGTGGGTAAAGTACATTGGGTACTGAACATGTAAAGTTTAACCTAAGGTGCCAGAGCTTCTGTTTAAATGCCTATTCTAACTGTAGAAGTTCACTGAGTTGTCTAGACTTTGGGTCTGGCTAATTTTAGTCTGTGATGTTTTCATTGATTTGCAAGTACTTTTTGTAATAAGTCAATAAAATTAAAGAAAATAAAAATACCTTTATTACTGAATTCACTGATGGAAATAAAATGGAATGTCCACCTCTTCTTTTTTGGGATAGTTTTTGTTAGCTCCTGCTGCACTGACAGGCATCGGGGTGGAGGGTGGGGGCAGTTGAAGCTTGCATCATAATCTGCCTCCAGATATGGAGCCCTTTCCACTGTCGATACAACCTGTGTACTTCCCTATGTGGCACACACACTCTTTAAAAGTGTTCATCTGTCAAATGTCTTTCTCTTGCTTTCTTGCTTGTTCTGTCTGTCTGCCTCCCTCATGTCCCCACTCCAAGATGATCTTTTGCTCTTTTGCCCCCCACCAATAAACCTCTTGCCCCTGACCTGTTGCTCATGCCATGTCCTCTTAGCGTTACAGGGCCCGCCAGAGGTACCCATGCCACAGCTTTATCATTACAGTTTTGATTTGTGTCATCTTTTCCACATTGGATTCATACAGTCTTCAGAAACATATAACAAGAAAGTTAATTATAATCAGGAGGTCACCACAGAGCATTTAGTTACGACTCTGGCACCAAGTGGTTATATGAGCGTGGATAAATTACTTCTCTAAGACTCTATTTCTCCACTGATGTCAAAAGAAGGATAAGCTGGTGATTAAATGATTCTAACATTCCCAAGTGTCAAAAAAAAAAAAACCCACAAAAAACAAAAAACAAAACATGCATCACTGCAGTTGTATTTGAGAATACCCAAAGTTTCAGGCCAAATACTAAACCAGAATATAGACTTTAAAAGAAAGCCTTCCTTTTTACTCTTTTCCTTATGCTAAACACATTCACAAGACCTTAAAAATCAAGTAGTGGTTGAGTGGCATAAATTGGACTTGATAGATTTTAAGAACATGAAGACACACAGTTGGGTTGTATAGAAGGGGAACATGCATGTGGGAGGAGTCAGGTGGGTGAATATGATCAAAATATAATGTATGAGATTCTCAAATAATTAATAAAACTATTTCTAAAATTTTAACTGCTTCTCTGTCCCCCACTTTCCTTCTTCCCAGTTATTGAACAATTACCATGTTCCAAGCTCTGCATCTCTAATGCAAGTGCTTTGTAATGCTATGCTGAAGGGATTTACATAAATATAATAGATTGTATTCCATAAGTTATTCAAGACCTCATGATGTTCCAAAGAGGGGGTGGTCAGCTTCACTTCATAAACTGAAGAAAGGCTTTAATAAAGGAAGGGAGTTTAGGCTAGATCTGATGAAGATGTTGAAGGCAAAACAGAGTGGGGACACAGAAGTAGAGAAAGTGGCATGCACAGAGGCTCAGCACGGCCGTG